CCTGGGCAGTTGCAGAGCTTTTCTTTGATTGCAATATTATTCCCTACTAAGAATATGATTTGGATGTATTTGGCACCAGCAATGTCATTAATTTAAAAGGCCTTCTTTCTGGATTCAGTATTACACAACACATTCTGAGCCACAGGTGTTTTATATTTGGACAAGATTAACTGTGAACTCTCTTTAATTCCCTTGGGCCAAGCATTCTTTTCTTAAATGGTGCCAGATCTTACGGGGAGAGTTTGTAAATGCAAATTAGTTCTTCTTTAAAAGTCATGTACTTGTTTTTATACAATTTTACAGGATTTCCCTGTGTGCTTTATTCATTTAAAATTTACCATCTTAATTTGTGGTTTATTTCTCTTCTAAATTTTGGAATCAGAAGCGCTGATGTACCAATTATCTGTAATTAAAGGCATGTCAGTCTGAATCTGCTTATTAATAGATATCGCCCCATTTCATAGCTATAAAATGGATCAGTTGTTGGCTATGAATCTATTAAACTTAATAGGAAATCAGTCTCCTTTCCCAAATTGTTGACAAAACCCAGGAAAGAAGCAATGAAGACAAGAAGTAATACGAATCTGCCAAAATTTTAAATAAAATTAACTAGGCCCTATTGGAGTCTCCTCCTTGTGATCTGCTCATATTGCATATGAAGCTTCAGCTAAGAGTAAACCCAAACTACCATATTCCAAATCCTACCTTTGTGTTGTCACTGTTACTATTGTATTTATGCAACATGGTCATAATTCTAAGTCTTATGCAAGATTTCCCTTAGATACATGAAGGCAGTTGAGATTATAAATTCATTTAACAATTTCTGCATACTTATTTTTTCATTGTAATTCCATGTACCAAGCTAACTTTACAATGGCCCAATGTGGGTCCAGATTATACAAAAGCACATGCTGAAAAAATAAAATAAAATTACAGCTAGAACAGGAATATATTCTGATATGAGAACTTTTCAATCATCTTTGATTCAGTACACTAAAAATCCATTTCAGAAGTCAACATGTGTTAACATCAACATGCATTGAACTTACGAAAAGGGGAATTGTATCTCTATCTGCTAATTTAGACAAAGTGTGAAGCGACCTGAAATTACAACATAGTGATGGGCCCATATAACATTTGCCATTGCCCACTGTCTAGCATGGCTTTTTAAAGAAAGGAACATAGCTAATTGGCCAAAAGCACAGCAGGTGAAGGGTTAAATACTCTAGCTGTTGGGCAGTTGGAATTTTTTATATCTTTGCTGGAGGACCTTGTGCCCACAGGCCATAGTCACATTATCAGCTAGAAATTGGATAACGACAGCACAATGACAAATCCAGGTTGCTTGCAATAAGGTGCTAATCCCTTTGCTTTAATATCGAAGCAGCATGTAATGATGTTTGGACATCACTCCAGTTTACTGACGACCCCACTGGGGCTTGCAATAGAACCGTACAACCACCTAACAAGGTGTCAGCTGACTGCCGTCGTCAAAGCAACGGACATTGCAATCTAATCTTCCTTCCATCCCTTCCAGCTCCCAATAAGGCCCAGGTTATATAAGTGGCCCATCGATGCTTGGTAACTGGAATCAATTAACGTTAATTCACACAATGCTATGATGTATTGTGATCACTTTCATTTCAGGGAAGGGGGAAGGAACGGCTATAATTCACCTAAAATGAGGTTGTCTATGGTGCTGAGGTATTAATTGGGTGTCCATATTAAATGGGAAAGGAGCAGAGCAGTGAAGGAAAAGTGGAAGGATGAGTGACTCTCTTGGCTGCTATTGACCTATCAGAAGAAGACAGTGCCCTTTTCCTTTGCTTTTATCTATTACAGTTTTCCCTATTGCGTGTCAAGTTGATGTATTATAAAAAATTCATTTGGTGACCTTTCACCCTCTTTGCAGATTAAACAATTTCACCAAGATGGCATCATTAAGAGGGCCTTGCATTTAATGATGATTTCTCTAAAAGGCCACGGAGATTCGATTTTAAGCTAACAGATTTATTGCACTATTATAACATATCGTAAAAAATTCTACCACCTACGGTCTAGTTTTAGGTTAGGAAACTGTTAGGAGTTTATGTGGAGTTTAAAGCGGTATTACCTTGGGATATGCTGCAACAGCCAATTGGCACACTCTCTCCCGTGGCACAATCCTGTTTATGTTTAATAAGTTATTGTTCCTCAGGTGCTAAATTTCAGAAGTAGAGACCTGCCTGGATTCACTTTTTAACACTCATAATTAGATATTTAGGCCTGTAAAATTGACAGACTAAAGCACAGTTTTGTTAATCTGTACAACATACAATTTGACTTAAACCTAATGCTTTGAGGGACTACAAAAAGGACCATCTGGTTACCATTAGCAACCACAGAATGGCTGGAAGGGGCAGAATGCTCTCGGGTGAGAGATAGAGGGAGGTGAAATTGTACCAGGGGAACAAACTCATTTGTTATGAAGCTAGTGGGGTTTTTAAACACAAGCATTGTTCTCCCCATTATCACTCAAATCATAATGCTTCAGAATGAAAAGATAAGGAGCTAGTACCAAGAAGAAGGGGGGGGGGGGAATAAAAAAAACCAGAGAAAATGGTTTTATCCTATACCAGGTAGACTGACTGGCACTGTTGCCTACTATGAAAATCTCTACTAATAAAACAAAAGAGAGCTATTTACACCAAGAAGAATAAGTGGACAGACTGGCCAGGAATTCAGAACATCCTGCAGGAATCCTCTTGCTCAGCGAATATATCTAATGTTCTACTTTTGCTAACACTGATCTCTTGGCTTTTTAAAACTAAGCCTTCAAGTGTCATCTGAAGAAACTACCTGAACCCAAAAGCAGATCTGCATCAAGTAGTTCTACCCAAATCATTTAGCTCTGCCCAGAAACTCTACATAATATGGATTGTAGTTTAATGTGAATGCCTATGTACAAAGTAAAGCAGTATCTTTCACTGTCGTTAGAACAACAATTAACGTACTGTATATGTTAGCTCAAAATATGTAATTTAAATTCTCCTCTTATGACGAGGAGAAATAAAGAGGGGAACATTAAAAACCAAATGCTTCATCCATACCCTTGTATGAATCCTACTAAAAATGTTAAGTCTTCAAAAATAGGTAAGAGATTGCCTTCCAGTCCATTAGTACTGAGCTTGGTCCTTTGTCATTTGCCTATTCTCAAAAGAGAAAGGCCCTGAAACATAAAGTAATTGGTGTGAGGAAGACAGCTTATCCAGTTTTCAGAACTCCATCTCCTTCCATTCAGGTTGCTTTTAGAATAGTATTTTGGTTTTTCCAAATTCCGCTCTCCCCCCCCCCCCCCCCCC